TCCTAAAGGGTTCACATTCACAATATTCATCCAATCAGATTAATTGATTTTTTCTTTTGAAGTTCCAATCCTGCAGCCATTCCAGTCCCACACAGAGCTGTCCTCATTTGTTTTGATAGTAACTATTAGATATATGTTCTGCACATACATACACCTACAGAATTTCAATTTGGGTCCTTATCTGTGTGTTTCATGTGATAAATACAATGCCTGACTGGATGTAACTTCTTTCGTAGGGCTGAAACCTTAAGAGATCAATAACCATAAAATTGTCAATAGCATTATTAATGAATATCAATATGAAAATTATTAGTCATTGATAATATTCTACATAAAATTTGTTGATAAAATAAAGTTTCAATATATGCACACAATACACAAGAGTTAAGTCTTTATTAAATAATCATTATGCTGTTTTATTGGTTATCTGTGGATGAGACATGTCACCACTAACACCAGTGATGTGAAATATAATACACATTTCCGACAATTTTTTTTGGCATTTTTATCCCAAAGTTACTTCTATTTCATCAATAGGTGATTGATATTTAGTTAACGATTATCAGTCTCTATGATCTCTACCGATTTGAATTAATGATTATCCCTGTTGTAAAAGCATGATGGAAGCTCATCTCTGGCATTGATAGATTATCATCCTGCATGACAATGTTTCCCAACTTTCAGAAGAGACAATAGCTTCCCTGGAAAGATGGTCAAGCATATGGAGCTGGAAAATCAGTTCCAGTACCAAGATGCAGAAAACGCATTAAGTCACCCAGATTAGGTTGAGAGGAACTTCTTTGTCACGATGTGAGGGGCATAAGATCACAGCTTGTGTAGTAAAATTAAGCGTTGGAACTGGAACTGATCCATTAGTGCCAACAATTTATCAATAGAAGTAGACCCGCCTCCGTGTGAGTGTGTGTGAGTGGTTAAGCGTCAGCCGCCCAGGCCGGAAGGTCAGCGTGTTGATCCCGGCCACGTCATACCAAAGAGCGTTAAAATATATGGTACTTATTGGTCCCTGCCTGGCACTCGGCATTAATGGGTACAACAAGGACTGAAGATCCTTCAGTCAGTATAATGTGTCTGAGTGGGAGTATTCATGCTTCACTGCGGCATGAGTATCTCAGTGGGCTAGCACTATAAAACCAGCTTCAGTCTGGGCTAGTACAAGCAACCAGCACATACACATACACCGCATGCCGCGTCGTCATATGAAGCGAAATATTCTCAAAACCGATGTTAGACCCAATTCACCTCACTTAATACAGAGAAGAAGAAACTAGCCGCATATGGACGGTGCTCTGCATGCATCATCAGGACTTGGGACCCTAAATGTACCGATTACTACCCCAAAGAAAACTTTCATGATTTAAAGAAGCTCCCTTGCTTAACCAGGTAGCTACCATTATGAAAAAAAGCCGGGCTTACATGATTGTTGCTAAAAGGTTGGACAAGCCCTAAATGCTATCTAAATATAGTTTGCAACCTATCCGGCTTACCACGAAACAATTGGCTTGCTACTGCGCCTGCCTACCTATGGTCTTTCTGTTTTCTGTTGTTTCTTATTCATACTGAATGCAGCAATTTCCCAATATATGACGCTGGTGTGTAAATACTCAAGTCTGGACCTGAGAATCCAGTGACTGACATCATGAGCATCAATCCACACAATTGGTATACTATGACATGTATCAACTCGATCCTGTTAGTCACCTCCTGCAAAAAGCATCTGTTGCTGAAGGCCATTTTTAAACAGATTTTCTCATGTCCCTACCTATGGCAGCAAGAATGGATGTTAATTTGATACTAAGATTCAGAAGACATGGGTACAGGGCTTTTTGTCAAAATATTTAGACAAAGTGCAATATTTATGGTCTGTCCCTTATCTGGATTTCAGATTTTCATGAGAAGCGACAGGAGCTCTGTATTCTTAATCCAAAGAAAGCCTACAATGTGTGTAAGTATATCCCATCCACAGCAGTTTGTCCTGAAATTATGTATGTTTGTTTGTTGTTTAATGCCGCCCTCAGCAATATTCAAGCTATATGGTTACGGTCAGTAAATAATCAAGTTCGGACCAGACAATCCAGTGATCGACATCTACGCAAATGGGATACAAAGACACCCGATCCCATTAGTAAACCTCTTACAGCAAGCATGGGTTGCTAAAACCAATTCTATCCCAGATCTTCCACAGGTTTGAAATTTGTCACAGGGTCATGAAGGTTGAAGTATTTGTACCCACAAAAAGTTCAAATGGACACGAAAAACATTCCACTGAGGCTCTGTGGATCATTTCATCAGGCTCTCCTTGTCAGATTTGGTTTGCCCAGTCATAAAGTTAAGTTTCACAAATACCTAGAGTTTTATTCGTTTCTGGTACCATGGTAGTCAGTGTTTTACTGAATGTCCAAAAGGACTGGCAAAGTGATAGATCAGGTAAGTGTTGGGAGCTGGTTCTGTCCCTGTACTGTATTCTGCTGTCTGTTGGCAGCCATTCTGATGGGTCACCTGAAGATGACCGGAGCCAAGATGAAGGAGGCCCTGTATCGGATGGATGAACACATCTTGACTCCGGAGCTCATTAAACAACTCCTGGCTTACTCTCCGAATGGGACAGAGGTAACCTCAAGACTTTTACCAAATATTTGTACCAGAATGATGTAGATTTCTGTTGTGAAAGTCTAGTTTAGGAAAGTCATGTATACTACTCAAGAAAAGCTAAGGTCCACCGGTTCTATTTTAATCTGTCATGTAATGGAAAGGTTACCTGTAGTAACATTAAAGAATCATGTATCCTTAACCCTTTATAAGTGGTTTGAAATGCAAATTTTAAAGGGGGCGACATTGAGACCAGTTGCCAATCCTAATTCAAGCAATTCAAAACCACAATTTTCTGCTGACTCGGGTATTATGTGAATCGGTTTAGCAGTGAAAGATTACTTGTATCTTAAATCCACAGAGATAACGTCTCACTTCCACATTGTTGTACTTAATGGAATGTTTAAACCTGAAGCATACATAGGACCAGGCAATGAATTATATTCCCTCTTGAGGAGAAAATATGTTTTTCGCAATACCATGTAATCGTGTTCACTTTGACACTGAAACATTAGATTGACACTGATTCACTTGCCACTTATTAACCCACTGAAAATAACAGGGCACAAGATGCATGAAATGTTAGAGGTAAGTTTTGCACTGAGACACTGTGGAATTATGCAGTCAAGGATTGTTAAGATCTTGTAATCATGAACTCTAAAACTCCCCACATCACTTTTCCTCCATATTTACTTACGAAATATACTTTATTTTTAAAACAATGGCACTGACTGAGGAAGAATTGTCGTGTCCAAGGTTACATGATTACAATAGGCTAAAAAAGAAATGGTTTCTATCGATCATTGGCGTGTCACTTTATCCTTTGCATCAGTCTTTTTTCTCATTGATTTATTTTTTTCAAATTCCTCATGTGTTTCTGTTATCCATGCTTGACAGTTGACATTATATTCGAGAGCCACGTTCAATGTGTGTCCAGTTTTGTTTACTGGTATGATTGGTGGGGACAAAATATATATTGTACCTCAGACCTTTATCGCGATTCTTTATTTTTTTAAACTAACAATATGTAAAATAGTTCTTCTCAGCTCCTCACGTTTGCGAAAAATGTTCCCCAAAACATTTCTATTTAGTAGGCAGCCTAGCAGTGAAGGAATTGACACACCAAGACTCAGGACTGACTGACTGACTGACTGACTGACTGAGTTTGGTTTTACGCCGCTTTTAGCAATATTCCAGCAATATCACGGCGGGTGACACCAGAAATTGGCTTCACTCATTGTACCCATGTGGGGATTCGAACCCGGGTCTTCGGCGTGATGAGCCAACGCTTTAACCACTAGACTACCCCACCGCCCCCAAGACTCAGGAAGTGTGACCCATTGTTTCAAGTATTCTTTTGATGTAGGTCAACATATTTTTTCTGTTATGAAGATTCATACAGCTTATTCATCTATTTTTTTTAACCCACTCTTGTCAGATGGCCAGCTATGGTGATTTCAAGGGAGACATTGAAGATCTTAGCAAACCCTGACCAGTTCACGTGTATGAGGGGTAATCCACTAGTTTGCCACGCGCACATGCTTGATGGCGCCACAAGGTAGATGCACTCATACAAAGCGGCATGCAGGCTTGGGCCACTAGTGTTCTATGTTTTACGCACATAAGTCATCTGATAAGGAAACCAGTTTGTAAGCGTGTATGTTGAATATGGAAGTCAAGAAGCTAAAGTACCATCTCCTTGCTGTCTTAGACATTTTTAAGTGTTAGGGTGAAGCAGCTGTAGAAAATGTAAAATCTAACTCACTCATTCTGGGAATGTGATGAATGGCCTACTACTGCTGCCCTTCCTAAACAAACAGGATTATTACTTGCAGAATTATTTTTGTAGTTGTTTAACTGATACAATTTGATTTTCATTGTGAGAATACAGGAACCATTTTTCCTTGTATGATGTCATTTGATTTCGTGATGACCCTTTGTGGTTTTAATCTCAGATGAGCAGGATTCAGGGGTACCAATCAGCGACTCCGCTATGCTGTTCAAGACAAACTTTGAGGAGAAAATCTCTGAAATGAAGGAGGTAAAAAGTTATCTCCCTTAATACGTTGGTCCATCTTTGATGATCCATGTTGGGTATGGGTCAGAAATCAAAGACACATATACCATTACAAACCACAAAGTAGGTTTTCCAACTGTCAGCATTTACTGGATCCATGAACACTCCACCTGCTATTGTAGTCTTGACCCGTGATGATCCGGGTTAGAATTGATCTTCAGTAACCCATGCTTGTTGTAAGAGGCGACTAACGGGATCAGGTGGTCTGACTTGTCTGACACGTGTCATCGTATCCCAGTTGTGTAGATCGATGCTCATGCTGTTGATCACTGGATTGTCTAGTCCAGACTCGATTATTTACAGACCGCTGCCATATAGCTGTAATATTGCTGAGTGCGGCATAAAACTAAACACAATCAGTCAATCAATATTGTAGTGTTTAGTATACAAGCCAGTCACATCTAAACAATGTCAGCAACGTCTGTGAGAACTGTATCAACATATCCAATATATTCAGACAATATTCAGATTTTACTTGAACTTCCTTGAAAACATTGTCAGCAGCCCCTATTTTCTCCCTTTACGAAGGTTAACCTTAACTCCCATTCTTTAACATTGCACTAAGGTTTCCTTCGTGACTAACAATCAACATAGTGCTTTGTGAAAGGAGGCTCTGCATTTGGTACATTTGTTTGCATGAACTTCAGAACAGTTGTGAGCCTGTATATTTTAAACTAATCATTTGACCTTTTTCCAGAATCTGCATTTCATCAAGACAGCATCAGTAGAAATGAAAGAGAGCAAAGAAGTTGGCAAAGATTTTAGAGGGTAAGACAAAATATTGTAGAGTAATAGAACTGTTGCGACCGCGGCTATATGTTTGTTTAAGATGATTTTGTCCCTAAACCTATGATGAAGTTATATCATTATCACTGACAAAAGGGAGAACTTTGTTAGAGGAGTGAAGAGACATCATGTCAGCTCTGAAGACCCTTCACAACAGTCACGTTTAACTGATTAAATTAAGATTTGATTAAAACAGCTGACTGTGTTAATGCTTTGCCTGTTTACAGACTGGATATTTTTACTTTTGCAATCCAGTTATGATTCACTCTTTCATGTATAAAGCAAAATGGCATCAAAGTATGCTGTCACCGTCAACAATGACTGTTAACATCAGTGAAGAATTGTGCCCGATGATCACGTGATGCCTTGTTTCAGCTGATCCTTGCGATGGGGAACTACATGAACAAGGGCAACCAGAGAGTTGGAGAAGCAGCTGGCTTCAGAGTCACCTTCCTCACACAGGTAATTCAACACACATCCCTCTCATCATCTACAGGTAATGGTAGGCCATCTCTGAGATGTACAAGATACCATAGTTTGCTTTGCAGAGTTTTGTCCCTTTGTCAAGCCAGAATCTAATGAGTTCACCCAAATTACGAGTCTGCTTGCGTGGTTTACCAACCTTGTATATGTCTGCAACTTGATCAGTTCACTTTTTGACCTCCCAAATCAAGGTGACACAATGATAAAACTATAATGCTTGACTAAACAGCAGTAAAAATTAACATGAAGATGCAAGCATTGATAATGATATTTGTAGAATGGTCATTAAGAAGTGTTTCCAGGGCTACAGATAATGGCCGTATCGTCGTATGTACGGATAAAAAATAGACACAATACGGTAGGAAATAATTTAGAAAAGCGTAGCGAATCGCACCACAGCAATTATGTGTACGGTCTTAGAATCATTTACAGGCATATTTATCTGAAAAAGTATTGTTTAATTGTTTATTGACCATTTACACCAGAGTAGCAATGCTGTCATGCATATATGAAACGAAGCACAAGTTTAATGATACACCATTAAATTCCATTCAGTACTCTAAATGTACTTTTATTGCTTTCCAGTACTCATATATTGAAAAAATAAGGAGTACGTACTCCTGATGTTGAAAAGTTATCTGGAGCCCTAGTTTCGCTACCGGATGATTTCCAGTTTGACTCTTGTTTAAGAAGATTTTTGCAAACAACAGTAAAAACTGAACAGTAAATATATAGTGATATTTGTTGGAAGTTCTAACAGAAATGTTTGTCTTCAGAACCAATTCCAGTTTCATGTGTGAGACATCATTACGTCATTTATGTTATTAATATGTTTCAATATCTCTCAAGAATTCAAGTGATCAATTCCACCATTTCCATCGATGAGTGAAATAATACTGTGGTTTGTCGATATGGAGGCAGTTGTATATGATGGTAATGTTTATATCCCAGCTGGACGTTACAAAGACAAGCGACAACAAGCTGACCTTCCTCCACGTACTGGTGGACACCATCAAGACCAAGTTCCCGGAGCTCATCACACTCAGCGAGGAAATTAACTCAGTTTCTAAAGCTAGTAAAGGTACTGCTCCTTGTTATATCTTGTTTCAGATCTCTCTCCCATACTAAGTAGACCATGTATTAAGGTTAAGTGTATTTCCCCTAACTGAAATGACATGTAGTTTGTCCGCATCCTCTCATAGAGAGTAGGGCTGCGCAATATAACCGGTTTACCGGTATTTACCAGTTCAGACATGAAAACGATACGTATTGCGATACACAGATCGAAAACCGGTATTTTAACATGCATTCTGAAAACTTCGTAACACTCAGAAATCTTCAGATATTTCCGTTTTTTTTAAATTATTCCTTTCTTTCTTTCATTTGTGCCAAACATTATTTACATTTTTATTTTGTCATGATTAAAGGTTTTTATTAACGCCTAATCAAGCATTGTGATTTTGTTGTGTTTTTACTTCATAAATCAAGCATTAACTCGATTATACATATTTTTTTGTTTAAGAAAACTTCTTGCAATATATTGCAATACATATCGTAATATATGCTTTCGCATCACAATTTATCGCAATATGAAAATTCCTTGCAATACCCACCCATAATAGAGAGGAAGGTCGATGGTTCTATCCCTATCTGCATCATGCCTAAAGATGTTCAAAAATGGTACTTGGTACCATCCTGGGCCCCGTTTCACAAAGCTCTCGTAGCGCTTCGACTACCGTAATTCTATGTTATAGTATAGGAGGCAGGTATGCTCTGAGGGAAAGTTCTGAGATCTTAGGCTTACGAGAGTTTTGTGAAACGGGGCCCTGGTGCTGTGAATTAACAGAATAAAACAAGCACTGGTTAGTCAGAGTCAGTATACTGTAACTGAGTTCAGTAACCATGTTGAGCTGCAGCATGGTGTCTGAGTGGGCTTGTACTTTATAAGCAGCATTAGTCTGGATTAGTACTCAGTAATTGATCATTTTGAATTGTTTGCTAAGCTGACCCACATAGTAACAATTAGTATGCTATATGTGTTGACATTGAATATGCTATAGGTGTTGACAATGAGTATGCTATAAGTGTTGACAATGAGTATGCTATAAGTGTTGACAATGAGTATGATATAAGTGTTGACAAAGAGTTTGCTTTAAGTGTTGACAATGAGTATGCTATAAGTGTTGACAATGAGTATGCTATAACTGTTGACAATGAGTATGCTATAACTGTTGACAATGAGTATGCTATAAGTGTTGACAATGAGTATGCTATAAGTGTTGACAATGAGGATGCTATAAGTGTTGACAATGAGTTTGCTTCAAGTGTTGACAATGAATACTGAGTATGCTATAACTGTTGACAATGAGTATGATTCAACTGTTGACAATGAGTATGTTATAACTGTTGACAATGAGTATGATATAACTGTTGACAATGAGTATGCTATAAGTGTTGACAATGAGTATGCTATAAGTGTTGACAATGTGTATGCTGTAACTGTTGACAATGAGTATGTTATAAGTGTTGACAATGAGTATGCTATAAGTGAGTTAGACAATGAGTCAGCTATAGCGAGGTGTTGACGGTTTGCTTTAAAGTGTTGACAGACAATGAGTGATGCTAGCAAGAGCTGTTGACAATGAGACATGCTATAACTATTTGACAATATTAGGTATGCTATAACTGTTGACAATATGATATATGTTATAAGTGTTGACAATGAGTATGCTATAAGTGTTGACAATGAGTATGCTATAAGTGTTGACAATGAGTATGCTATAACTGTTGACAATGAGTATGCTATAACTGTTGACAATGAGTATGCTATAACTGTTGACAATGAGTATGCTATAAGTGTTGACATTAAGGCACGGAGGTATGCTATAACTGTTGACAATGTAGTATGCTATAACTGTTGACAATGAGTATGCTATAACTGTTGACAATGAGTATGACTATAACTGTTGACAATGAGTATGTTATAAGTGTTGACAATGGAGTATGCTATAAGTGTTGACAATCAGGTATGCTATAAGTGTTGACAAACGGAGGAGTTTGCTTTTTAAGTGTTGACAATGAGGTATGCTATAAGTGTTGACAATGAGTATGCTATAACTGTTGACAATGAGTATGCTATAACTGTTGACAATGAGTATGTTATAAGTGTTGACAATGAGTATGCTATAAGTGTTGACAATGAGTATGCTATAAGTGTTGACAAAGAGTTTGCTTTAAGTGTTGACAATGAGTATGCTATAACTGTTGACAATGAGTATGCTATAACTGTTGACAATGAGTATGCTATAACTGTTGACAATGAGTATGCTATAAGTGTTGACAATGAGTATGCTATAACTGTTGACAATGAGTATGTTATAAGTGTTGACAATGAGTATGCTATAACTGTTGACAATGAGTATGCTATAAGTGTTGACAATGAGTATGCTATAAGTGTTGACAATGAGTATGCTTTAAGTGTTGACAATGAGTATGCTATAACTGTTGACAATGAGTATGCTATAACTGTTGACAATGAGTATGCTATAAGTGTTGACAATGAGTATGCTATAAGTGTTGACAATGAGTATGCTATAACTGTTGACAATGAGTATGCTATAACTGTTGACAATGAGTATGCTATAAGTGTTGACAAGTGTTGACAATGAGCATGCTATAAGTGTTGACAATGAGTATGCTATAACTGTTGACAATGAGTATGCTATAACTGTTGACAAGTGTTGACAATGAGCATGCTATAAGTGTTGACAATGAGTATGCTATAAGTGTTGACAATGACTATGCTATAACTGTTGACAAGTGTTGACAATGAGCATGCTATAAGTGTTGACAATGAGTATGCTATAAGTGTTGACAATGAGCATGCTATAAGTGTTGACAATGAGTATGCTATAACTGTTGACAATGAGTATGCTATAACTGTTGACAAAGAGTTTGCTATAAGTGTTGACAATGAGTATGCTATAACTGTTGACAATGAGTATGCTATAACTGTTGACAATGAGTATGCTATAACTGTTGACAATGAGTATGCTATAAGTGTTGACAATGAGTATGCTATAACTGTTGACAATGAGTATGCTATAACTGTTGACAATGAGTATGCTATAAGTGTTGACAAGTGTTGACAATGAGCATGCTATAAGTGTTGACAATGAGTATGCTATAAGTGTTGACAATGAGTATGTTGTAAGTGTTGACAATGAGTATGCTATAACTATCTATCTGTTGCAGTGTCCAACGTTCTGCTCCAGCAGGAGTTACAGGATCTCAGAAAGGCAGTACAGGTACAGCACCTTCATTCTATAACCATACATTCTCATTGGATGATATACAAATACAACAGGTTCTTTTAACAATACATAAACATTCAACTTGTACAAGGTCACTTGAGTCAATGTCAAATGAGATTTATCTAACCTAACATTTAACAGACTTATGTCATCATGTTCACCCATTAACAGATATAGCCTGTCAAATATCTCACAAATATATGTAGATGTTTGATTTTGTTTATTTGTTTGTTGCTCTACTCCTGACTCAGCAATATTCTAGCGATATGGGGGCAGTCTGTAAATAATCGAGTCTGGACCAGGCAATCCAGTGATAAACAGCATGAACATCGATCTATGCAATTCTGATATGATGACATGTGTCAACCAAGTCAGCGAGCCCCACCACCCTATCCTGTTAGTCGCCTCTTATGACATGGGTTGCTGAAGACCAATTCTAACCCGGATCTTCACGGGTCTAGATATATGAAGTTTGTCTGATGCTTCCATGGTAATTACAGGAAATCTCCAGCACCCTGGAGAAGATGAAGGGGCACCAACCACCTGCCGGCATCACCGACAGATTCAATGACGTCATTGGTGTATCCTTTACTGTTAGTAACCACTCAGTATTACATAAGGTTTCAGTCATACAAGCGTCAAGAAGATAAACTGCATCAAGCAGAAAATGGGATCAATTGTCCCAGTGCATTCATTTGGGAACAACTTATCTCATGCAGACATCTTTCTGTGTGATGAATTGTACTGCCACCTGTTAAAATAATCCAGTATTTGTATCAGCTGTGGCAGCTTTGAAATTACTTTTCATTATCTTCTGAGTTACGAAAATATGATTGAAATGAATGCTACAAAATGGATAAAATTTCTCATTGTGCTTACATTGAAATGGTAATAGTGACAAGCGAGATACACAGTAGGACTCCCTTCTGAACCTTAGATCAGCTATACGTTTAAAGAACCACTAAACTTTGTTTTTTGTTACTCTTTTAACCATTACATATGAAAGATTTATTTTTCCTTATCCTGACTCATGCTCTTTTGCTTGTCTTCTTCTTCTTGCGAACATAGTGGAACACTTGTATCTCCTTAATTGAAGCTCCCTTCAATGTAAAATCACTAATTGGTACTCACCACGAGTTGCCTCCCTTGCCCTTTTGGCGGGAACAGGTGTCGCCACCCTCTGGCCTCATGCTTCACTCTCTCCTTCTTCGCCCAGTGAGCAGGATGTGAGAGCGCCTGTGTCTCCTTACACACTATATCCTTTGGTTTTTTCTTAGTTTATTACCTCTTATAGGTTACTATAGAGGTATAGCTAGTATCCTTCATTAATTTGCATTGATATTTAATCATTATTTCTACTGTTTATTCCGTGAGTTAAGTGATTGTTCAGCTAGTATTCACGTTGATGAAAATCTGTACTATTTGCAATTTCGTTTTCAATTGCTGACCCATGTATTATGCCCTAGTTGTGCTTTCGCCTTGTGCGTTTGATACGTTGCAGTTACTGCATTAATCTATCAATTCTGCTTTTCATAAATATCTTTGCGTCGTGAGGCGTACCGCGAATAGGTCCGCAAACAAAGGGTTAGACATGGCGATACAGCCAGTTCCCCTTCCAGTCAGCTGCTGTCGATAGACCCCTCCCGTCTGGTGTTTAGCAAGAGACTCCGTCGGGAGATGGGCGTGGGATGCAGTCCGCCAACACTAAGAAGCGTCCTGCCTCCCCAGGCGTCCGTCATCGCAGATAAAGTCCAAGAGGGCCACGGCGTCTTCCCAGCGCAGACCGGACCCCAGGGCAGCGTCGACATCTAAGGGGAAGTCACGAAGTCGTCAAGAACTTTCTCAGCGAGATTGTTCCAGCCGCCCGAACTGGGCCTCTCGATGATCAGCCGATCATCATCCCTGGCGTCGCACAAGAAAGCGACCGGTGACAGCTACAGTGACATCAGCAGAGATCGCCATGCAGCCTGATGCCTCTACACTGATGTCAGGCGACTTCCCTGAGGGTCAGCAGCTGTCATCGCAGAGAGGGCACCGACTACGCCGTCGCCAGACCATCCCAGGCGAGCTGTTGCGGCAGATCATGACCATGATGGAGGGCCACTACAGTCGGGGAAGCAGCCAGCCCAGGGCCGAGCAGCATGAGGCGATACCCCAGAGGCACCCCAGTCAAGCGTAGCAGCCACGGCGAAGCAGCCGAGAAGGAAGTCACAGACCACCTCAGCGAAGGGCGCAGATGTACAGTCGTCGCGAAGGCCTTCCAGCGAAGGCGGGGAGAGATCGTCATCATCCTCGGCCTCGTCCTCAGATGCAGACTCAGACCACCAGGCGTCCGCGAAGCCGTCCGCGGAAGTCAAGGCGCCGCTCCCCAGGTCGGACGCAGAGGAAGCTGCGCGAGGCCGTCACACAGATCGTCATCGTCCAGAAGGGCGTCGAGGGACTATTCAAGAGCTTCCGCGAAGCCGTCAACATTCTCCTCGCAGATCTAGGTCTTCCCATAGGCGCCAGATCACCTAGGCGATCTCCGCGCCGTTCACCGCGCCCGATCTCCGCGTACATCACCTGCGCGGGTCATCACACAAGTCGGCACACAGGTCTACACTCAGGTCTCCCGAGTGTCACCCGACATAGAGATAGCAGCCCAGAGGTCACCATCAGAAGAGCATCAACCTCTCATCTCCGATGCTGGTACAGAAGATGATGGAGGCATCATCTTCTCAGGCGCTGAGATAAGATATTGGATGGTAAACAACCTAGATTTATCTTCACCGTCCAAGAGTGGCAACTCAAGCGCAGACATACCTGATGAAGGAAGGCGATGCAGGCGCCATCACCTTACCTCCGATCGACCCGATTGCTGCGGTGCCACATAATCTAGATACAGCCTTCATTAAAGCTCACGAAAGTGCAGACTCCACATCTGCCGAACTTTCAGCTAAGAAGTTCTCCACGCACAACATGGACCCCTTCCTGAAGGCACAAGACATCGATGAAAACTACAAGCTGATCAGCGATGTTAAGAACAAGAACTACAAGATTGGCGATCGCAAGCTGGTGCAGATAGAAAACATGGCCGAGGGCATGTTCTTTGGCCTAAATAGATCTAGAGCGATCAATGAGACACTTATCACCAGATTTACGTATCACGACCTCTGAAGATGATAGGATGATCTACTCGGCCCTACTGATGCAAAGAAGGACCAGCAGTTCCTTACAGATCATCTCACATCTGTCTCAGCAGCACTGACCTTAGCTTCGTCGTCAAGGCCTCCTCGCTTCCTGCAGCTGGGGTGAGAACTTTACAGCTCCACTCTATACAGCCCGTGGTCATCCCCAAACATCTTTGGCGGAGGAATAGACAAAGTCTCCAAAGGAAGTCACTAAGGACTCCAGAGAAGTCCTTATGATCAAGTCGATGGACCGCTAGCAAAGCGTCATCAGGCAGACTTCACAAAGATACTCAGGGAGATCTAAGTTCGGGACTACAGAAAGCCGCGGGATAGGAAGATAGCCAGCGCCAGGGAAAAGATTCTTTTAAATTAAGCCCATATGGCAACTATAGAGGAGGGTCAGGAAGAGGCAGGACACCCAGAGGTTCCGCAACTATAAGCGCTGAAAGACAGGTTGGAGCGACTGGAGTCTTCCACCCCAGCCGTTCCAGTACAACCGTCACAAGTGGGTGGGCGCCTCCAACTACACTGGGAGAACTGGGGAATGTTAAAGACCCTTATGTCTCCAACATTCTTCAACCACAGTTTAAGTATCCCACTACAGGCCGCGCCTCGCTGACAGTCAACCCTTACAAGTTAGACTTACAGGCACAACAACTACCAAAGTTAAGAGGCGGTTACATCACTCATAACCAAGCAGGCCATAGAAGTACTAGATCAAGTAGACATCGAACCAGGCTTCTACTCCCCAGTTTTCCTAGTACCCAAGAAAAACTCCAAGGAGAAATACAGACTCATTTACAACATGAGCTTTTCAGCAGGAATTATCTCGCCAAACCACCAAAGTTTAGCATGATACACCTTCCTCAGTCACGGCAGTTGATTAAGCCCCATGGATTACATGGCCAGTATAGATCTGCAAGGCGGCTTATCTACATATCCGATACATCCGAATCAGGAAATATCTAAGATTTACACTAGGCGGGCTACATTACCAATGGAAAGTACTCCCATTCGGCATATCATCAGCCCCTGGCTATTCGCGAGGATAGCGAAACCTATTGTCACCTATCTACATCGTCTAGGGCTCGCGCAGTGCGTTCTACCTCGACGACGGGATACAAGTAGATCAAGATCCACAGCATCTCAAACTACAGTTAAACTACATCATAAAGCTACTAACACAGCTAGGATGGTTAGTAAACTTACTCAAGTCGGACCTAGTACCATCGCCAAGATCTGCAGTTCCTAGGCATTCGATTTATCACGAATCACAACCGTATCGTCGTACCAGAAGACCGTTGGCTCAAGATCCAACAGACCATTCCGTCAGCTCTACTCTCTCCGTTACCACTACGACAATGGCAGAAGCGTGTTGGGTCTCCTCACATCAGCCCAAGACATGACAGTCTCAGGCAGATTACAGTTCGCCCATTACAGGTCTTCATCAATGCACATCTCGGCGACCTACAACCATTCAGTCTACCGAAGCGTCTCAGACCTCATCTACTATGGTGGACCAGGAGGTCGAATGTTTGCGAAGGTATTTGTTTAGAAGAGCAGGAATTCAAAACCCATCTATATGTAGGCAGCGTGGCTCCAAGGTTGGGGAGCTCATCTAGCCAACCCGGACGACATCAGGGTTATGGAATCAGCAAGAAAGCAAGCTCCATATAAACATGTTAGAGATGAAAGCTGTAATCAGCGCCATACTTCATTGGAGCAACATTCTACAGAATCGCGCCAATGATTCATACCGACAACTTCGACAGTGGCGTTCTATGTGAACAAACAAGGTTCAACAAGATCACTGAACCTATTGACTTTAAGCTTTCAACTGTTCGATCTAATACCGCGATCTAAACCTACATGTCAGAGCATGTCACATTCCCGGAGCCAAGAATGTACTAGCAGGCGCACTCTCGGCCACATCAACCGTCACCCGACAGAATGGATGCTCAATACAGAAATATTTGCACAGATAATCAAGCAAATAGGGGCCGCTAGTAGATCTATTAAGCAATGCGCTTCAACAATCAGCTACCGACATTCGTGTCACCAGTCCCAGACCCACAAGCATGGGCAGCGGGCGGCTCTAAGCATATCCTGGGAAGGCCTCAATGCGTGCAGCGTTTCCGCCGCCAGCAATAATACCTCAAGTGTTACAGAAAATCAGACAAACACAGAGCCTCCAACTCACTTTGGTGCAGCCCTACTGGCGGCCAGAGCGTGGTTTCCCATTCTAATTCAAGAAATCGGTCAACCAACACTAGAGCTACCCAAAGCTCAAATCTATTAATACATCCACACACCAAACAGGTGCGGAAGCCAGAAGTATTCCAACTTCGCGTATGGACTGTATTAAAATGTGTTTAAACAAGAGGGTATTCTACCAGGCGGCAAAAGCGGTCCGCGCTTGCCTTACGCTATTCTACGCGTGGCAATGCGGCGACAAGTGGCACAGTTTTGAAATTACGCGG